AGAATGACTGGTCAGAAATGAAGATCCTGGAACAACAACAACAACTTGGATTTATATAGCGTCCTCCACGTTGGATGGGGTCTTGGAACGCTTCACAGTAACGGATACCGGGGCCGAGCCAGGGGGAGGAAGGTGACCAAAGAAAAGAAATGTCTTGGAAGTGGTGAAAAGGGAAGGGAAGAAATGGAAGAGGTGATAGAGCCATTTATTTAAGCTGTGTTAATGAAAGATTAAAGAAACATAACGTGTAAGAATCATATAGAAATCCTATGTATTAAATTATGTACTACTACATCACTATGTTCTAGTTGCGATGAAAACTTTATTTAGGCAATGTAAAAATTCATGCACATTTTAAAATAACAATACACTTATAAAGTGCATATAGCTGAGAATAATCATTCAATTCAAAGTAAACAATGAAGGGGAAAAAATTTAAGTGAATTGAAATCCATACAATTTAATAGCCCTAACAATGAAAAGTAAATGATAATGTCAAATGGAAATAAAATATGCATCAAATATGCATCAGAGAACCCAGCAGCGGAGCAGAGAGCCCAGCAGCATAAGAGGGAAGTGAGTGAGGTGGAACAAAGTGAGATTTCTGCTAAGGAATTTGGTGAGAATGGGAACTCAGTGCAGAGGGAGAAAGGTGTATAATTATAAAATATATAATAGTTATATTAAAATAATATAAAAAAATGTCTGGGAATATGGCAGGGCAGCTGAGATCAGTTGCATGCACAATGTGTGCCATGTGGGAACTCCAGGATGCTTTGTGTGCCCTGGACAGACACGTGTGTTTGGAAGTGCCTCCAGCTGCTTGAGCTCAGAGTTTCTGAGCTCGAGGAGAGACTGGTCACTACATAGCATACGGGAGGCTGAAGAGTTCATGGATCAAACTTTTCAGGAGATGGTCACCCCACAGCCAAAGAGGGTTCAGAAGGAGAGTGAGTGGGTGACAACCTGCCATGGTAGGTATAGGGAACGGGCAGTGCAGAAATCCCTTGAGAGCGTGGCACTCACAAACCGGTTCTCTGTACTGAATACAGGACAGGGTGATGACACCTCTGGGGAGGGGAATCAAAAGCAAATGGGTGCACAGGGGGATACAGGGAAGAGTTTCAATGTAATTATCATTGTGGACACAATGGTGAAAGGAGTAGACAGGCGTTTCTGCAACCAAAGACATGACTCTCACATGGTATGTTGCCTCCCTAGTGCCAGGGTTGTAGACATCATGGAACAGGTGCAAAATGTTCTACAGAGGGAAGGGGATCATCCAGAAGTTTTGGTCCATGTTGGGATCCATGATATAGAGAAAAAAAGGGCTGAGATCCTGCAGGGAGAGAAGCTAGGGAAAAGAGTAGGACCTCAAAGATGGTGATCTCTGGATTACTCCCAGTGCCTCATGCAGGTGAGTATCAATACAGCAGGATCAAACACATGAATGCATGGCTTGAGAAAGGAGGGGTTCAGCTTCCTGGATCATTGGGACCAGTTCTGGGGCAGGTGGGATCTGTACAAGATTGATGGGTTATACCTAAACAGGGTTGGGACCAATATCCTTGCAGGGAGGTGAACAAGCGATGTGGGGAAGGGTTTAAACTAATTTCAAGGGGGGAAGGGAATCAGGATTAGAGAGGACAAACAAGTTACACAGAGGGCTGGGAGATACGAAATGCAATGTAATAAGGAGTAATCCAGGAAAAGGAGGGATTAGACAGGGGAGAAATGCAGAAAGGATTAAGTCGGTCTTGGAGTGCATGTGTGTAAATGAACGGAGTGTGACAAATAAGATTATTGAGCTGCAGGCTCAAGTTGCCAAATGGGGTTATGATTAATGGCAATAACGGAGACCTGGCTCAAACAAGGGCAGGAATGGGAGCTGAATATTCCTGGCTACAATGTATTCAGGAGGGCTAGAGAAGGAAAAAAAGGAAGGGGGTGGCAGTATTGATTAAAGACACAGTTATGGCCCTGGATGGGAAGATGTGCTAGAAGGGCCAAAAACATAATTTATTTGGTTAGAGATAAGGAGCAGAAAAGGAGCTATTACTCTGTTAGGTATTTACTATAGACCACCAAATAGAGGAAAGTCGATAGATGAGCGAATCTGCAAGCAATTTCGGAAAAATGCAAAATCAATAGAGTAGTAATAATGGGGGACTTCAATTATCCTAACATAGACTGACAAAATAACAGTGTAAAGGGCAAGGAGGGGGAAGGATTCCTGAAATGTGTGTAGGATAACTTTCTGGATCAGTATGTTTCCAGTCCAATGAGGAAGGAAGCAGTGCTGGGGAACTGCTTCCTAGTTTTGGGGAATGAAGTGGGACAAGTGGGGCAAGTTTCAATAGGAGAGCATCTGGACAACAGTGATCACAACATCATTAAGTTTAGAATACTTATGGAAAGGGACAAGGAGCAATCAAAGGTGAAGATATTCAACTAGAAGAAGGCTAATTTGAATGAGTTAAAAAGGGACCTAGCCAAGGTGGACTGGAAAGAAAGATTGGCAGGTAAAACAGCTAATGAGCAATGGGAAGTCTTCAAGGAGGAGTTAGTTCGGGGACAGAGCAAATACATTCTCACAAAGGGGAAAGGTAGGGCATTCAAACCTCCCTGGATGAATAAGGAAATTGGTATTAAAATAAAACAGAAGGAGGCCTATGATAAATGTCAGGTCCAAAATATAGAAAATAATCAAATAGAATATAAAAAGTACAGCGGGGAACTGAAAAAGTTAATAAGAGGAGCAAAGAGATTGTATGAGAAAAGGCGTGTAATAAAGTGCCACATAAAAGACTTGTAAGCAAAATAGAAGCCCACGGTATTAATGGGACAGTGGCAGCATGGATACAGAATTGGCTGGGAGACAGAAAGCACAGAGTGGTGGTGAACGGTTGTTTTTCTGACTGGAGAGAAGTGTGCAGTGGTATCCTCCAGGGGTCGGTATTGGGACCACTGCTGTTTTTGATCTATATAAATGACCTGGACTTGGGTATAGAGAGTACAATTTCCAAGTGTGCAGATGATACTAAACTAGGAGAAGTAGTAAACAGTGAGGAGGATAGTAGCAGACTGCAAATAGACAGACTGGTAAAATGGGCAAACACATCAACAACAACAAGATTTCATTTATAGAGCGCCTTTCACATCGGGAGGACGTCCCAAGGCGCTGGACAGTTGGGTCAGGACCCGAGCAGGGGGGAAATGGTCAGGGTGAGGGGAGGGAAGGGAGGGAGCGAGGAGGAGGTAGAGAGCCGAGAGGGGAGCTGAAGGCACGGTCAAAGAGAAAGGTCTTGAGACCGGCCTTGAAGGAGGAAAGGGAGGAAGCAAGGCAAAGGCACTGGGGGATGGAGTTCCAGAGCCTAGGGGCTGAGAGGCTGAAGGCCCGGCCACCGATGGTAGCCTTGGTAGATTAAGTTTAATATGGAGAAATGCAAAGAGATGCGTTTTGGGAGGAAGAATGAGGAGAGGCAACATAAGCTGATGGTACAATCCTAAAGGGGGTGAAGGAATAGAGAGACCTAGGGGTTCATATAAGTAAATCTTTGAAGGTGGCAGGACAGGTAGATAAAGCTATTTAAAAAAGCATATAGGATACTAGGCTTTATAAATAGGGGCATAGAATACAAAAGTCAGGAAGTTATGATGAACCTTTATAAAACACTGGGTAGACCTCAGCTAGAGACTGTGTTCAGTTCTGAGCATCACACTTTAGGAAGGATGTCAAGACATTGGAAAGGGTGCAAAGGAGATATACCAGGATTGTACCAGGAATGAGGGACTTCAGTTATCAGGAGAGGCTAGAGAAGCTAGGATTATTCTCCTTCGAGCATTGAAGGTTAAGAGGAGACTTGATAGATGTTTTCAAAATTATGAGGGGATTTGATAGGATGAACAAGGAGAAACTATTTCCACTGGTGGGTGGGACGGTAACGTGAGGACACCAAGTTAAAACAGTTATTAAAAGAAACAGAAAGGAGGTGAGATTTTTTTCACACAGCAAGTTGTTCGGATCTGGAATGCATTGCCTGAAAGGATGGTGGAAACCGATTCAATAACAATTTTTAAGAGGGAAATAGATAATTATTTGGGGAGGTCAAGTTTGCAGTCCTGAGCTCTTGGTGACCGCTAGCAATGAGACCGTCTCCTCCCCCCCCCCCCATCCCTTTGATGGTCGTCTGATTGGCCAGTCCCATTTCTGAGCATTGCTGGATAAACAACTCAGTAGTAATGATTCTTGGCCCCAAATAATCCTGAAGTAAGTCATCTCCTAACTCATATCGTCGCTACAACACTTACCCGCTATATGCGCAGTGCTTTGTTTGAAACAAGGTATTATTCCATTGCCCCAAGCGCATTTACTGCTGCATTGATCCAGTATCACATGTGCACTTACTGGTTACATTGATAAATACCACATAGTAAAACTGCAATGGAAACTAGGGGAGAAAAAAGGTCATGAACTGTCAGCTGTAACATGGTAAAGGCCCAAAGAGGCCCAAGGTACTTGCTTAACGATGCTCTGAAAGGATTAAAATGGTGTCACAAAAGACAAACTTTACATAACTTCACGTAAGTCATATTAACTCAGCCGATACAACTTATGCAAATTTGCCCATAACTAAAAATTGGCGTAAATCGTATCATGACTTATGTGAGTTTACCTGTATGGTGAAACTCGCATAAGTTCGATCTGTGTAATCCGTACAATCACCTAAGTCATACATCTGTCCAAGTCCCGTTGAATTTCCTATTATTTATAAGTTTCACATAACTCATACTTTGCATAAATCATATTTAGTGACTTATGTGAGGCTTACTGTATATCAAATGAAAGGATTATTATTATAGGTTTTGCTGTGATTTTTTTTGGTTGTGTGGTTAAAGAATAGTATTCTTTTGTGCTGTGAGCAAAAACATTGTGGAATAGCAGCAAAAAATTAATTATTTTTTCAAAAACATTGAACGGAATGCAAAGATTTGCTGCGTAAAAACTGACCTTTATTGCAGTTGATCTGGTACATGTTTTACAATAAAATAAGAATGTTTTTACCACTTTACAAGTGGCTGTTTCAATCCACACATATACATATTTTCCTATAGGTTGAACATATTCTAAACATTAGATAGAATCAAATGATGTGTTCTGCTAATATTTTCAACAACAAAAAATTACATTTGTATAGCGCCTTTCATATGGGGAGGACATCCTAAATGCTGGACAGTTAAGAATATGCACCCGAGCTGGGAGTTGGGATCGGGTGTGTGGAGGGCAGGGAGGGTGGGGATAGGAGAGTGACCGAAGGCACAGTCGAAGAGGAAGATTTTGAGACAGGCCATGAAGAAGGCAAGTGAGTAGGATTAATCTATTTTGGGATTTTGAGCATTCTCTGTAGGGCCCTCCACATACCGAGTTGATATCTTGTGTTTCGATTTTATTACATTACTACTCCTTGGTCACTGCAATAATAATGAAACGCCACATTGTCTTTCCTCACCCAGCTGCCAAAAATGTATTCAGAGAACACTGGAGAGGAATCCAGCTGGTTTTCCCTTAGCACTGGGAAGGTAGTGGTCAATGTATCCTCCCAATGCAGCTCCAGCTGAGACCAGCAAAACCTAGCGCGTACAGTGAATGAACTAGCGAGCTCCCTCTCCATACTCTATCCTTTCCCACTACCCCAAAATTACTAATCAATTGCAGAGAGGTATGAGAAAACAAAAAAGCCCTTTTTTAAGCACCAATTCATTGCTATAAATCAGATAATTAAAACTTCTATTATTTATGTGTCAGCTTTTCTAAACAAAAATGATTGATTGAAATGCTAATTTATAACAGCATTATAGAAGATGTCAATAAATGTAACTGACCGACATTTGGTACAGTATTATTTCACAAACAGAAAAATGTATACAATTTGTCCGGAGAATGTCCCAAGGCTTTTGACAGTGCTGGCTAGAAACATAAACTGGAACACGAGGGCATGGTTGTATTCTAGTCCATTACTTTTGTTGTTAATTTATGTTCTCTACGTCGTATGCTATTGGTCCATCCATTGAGAATCCCAGATAAAAGGATATTTTTTCAATGCTTCTGCCGCTTCTCAGTTTACCCAGGTATACAGGACGTACAGGTACTTTGATTCTTTCATCATCACCATACTCTACATACACCATGTCATCTTCTCCTGTCCTGCCGTACACACGAAGGAGAAGCTCTTTGATTTTATCTTTTTTCCAGATTTCTCCAGATTGCCATAACGAATTTCGGTGTGTATTTTCACTGAACAATTGGTCAATTTTTCCTTTGTGAACTAACTTATTCAAGCCTGCTCTGTTACTGAGATAGAAATGTGCAACGGCATGTTTTGAATGACTCATGCGTCCATAGCGTCCTCTAAATGACCGTCTCATTGAGGTCACGTACTTCAGGAGTAATTTGGAATCTTCATTTAGTTTGAAATCTTTATTCGGCCAGAACAACAAGGAAGCCAAAAAATATGGTTCAGCGTGACAGTGATCAGAACCCACATCTTGCAGCACTTCTTTCAAAAGGTGCAAAAGTTTCTCGTAACTTTCGATTTTCTTGGACCCGTGTGTGATACAATTCAATACAATGTTGGCCAAGATGAAATTTTGCTTTTCTCTTGTTAATTTTTTGTTTCTTGCATTTTGGAGGACAAATTGATATTTGCTAACAACTTCTTCCAATGTTCGTCCAGCTCCGTGATTGTTGGTAAGAAACTCAAGTAAGCCAGCAAATCGGTCAGCTTTATGTGCTTCTAAAAACTTTTTGCAATCCTCCAGCTCAAGCTGCATGCTGAGTTTTGGCTTGTTCATCCTTGCAGCCATGCAAGTACTTTGCAATGGATAGAATATGCCTGTGTACTTGCCAAAACATTCTGAGACTTTCTTGCGAATCTTAAAATCTGCTATTTCTTTCTCAATGTTTTTTGTTTTGAAATAGACAAAGTAGTCTTCAAAAAAATCAAAAGCAGTTTTCAAGCTGGTTTGAATATTAATCAGGTACCGGTTGTAGTCTTCAAGCACTGAACACAAGTCTTCATCAATGCTGTTTGTTTTTTCAATGTGACTGAGATTCATGTTTCCTGATAGCAAGTGTGCCATTTGTTGTTTACTTAGTTCATCCTTTCCATTAAAGAATGGTATCTTTCTGAGAATATCTACAACACAAAGAGCCATTTCAATCTCTCCAAGATATCCGGATGTGTTGTACACATCATGCTTCCGTTTAGTCCTCTGCTCTGCCCATTGTATTCTGCCTTCACCTTTCTTCTCAGTCAGTTCCTGAGATTCTTTGAAGGCTTTTGAAGCAGACTGAGCAAGCTTTAGAAACTCATCCAACTGGCAGGTTGTCAGAACAGTTTGTTTCAGAATTTCCTCACTTTCCATCCTGTGTTTTAATTTGCTTTTAAAAATTTGGCCCAAAGTGTCAGTAATGTAGGAATTGTCTCTTGCCTTGTCTTTCGCTTTATGTGCCCATTCAAGCGCTAAATCAAAGTTCTTTTCCTTCAGGTAAAGGTGTCTGGCTAAGGCCTGAGAAATATATGGATTCTGGTCAAACCTATTTGATGCTTCAGTCAAAACACTCTGTACCTGAGGATTTCCCTCTTTCTTTTGAATTGCTTCAATTAATGGAGAGAATAAAGTATCTGTTTCATCTCCATGTTCTTTCCGTTGTCTTGTGATCAACATGCTCCATGTGTCTTGCAGGAGTTTGTCTCTGCCAATGCTACTCTGAAACAACATGTTTTGAGAGAGGAAACGTTTGGCAATTTCACTCTTGTGCAGACTGCATGACAACTTCAGCTCTTCCAAGCAACGCATGGCAATCAGTGGATGGATGATACGAATACCCTGGTATCTGCCATATGCTTCAACCTCAATACGAATGAGAAGAGTACAGTAAGTGCCCATCAAATCTTCAAACTTTTCTGGGCCCCAGAATGATGTCTTCACATGACCTACCCCTAAGAACTCCTCGCATTTTGATAACGACATTGATGAATCTTTAACGTAGGAATTCAGCAATGCCAAAAATGAAATGAGGTCAGCTTGTTTAGTGGAATTCCTCAGGTCTTTCAAAATGTTATGAACCAAATTTGCAATGTAGCTTTTATCAAAATTTGTTTTCATGATCATGAAGGAATAGAAGTCTTCTGGTCTTGTGTGGTATTCCTCAATTTCTATCAGTTTAGAGGAAAACAACTGTTGCTCTTTCATAGAGAGTTTATGCTTCAAAGTGACACTGTATAAAACACTCATTTTTGAGCTTCTGTCTGGATCCTGGGATCTCATACAGTTCAGAACAATTACCAGTGGACGCTCAAATCTGAGGCCTTTTTCAGCAACGGTGGATTGAATGGAATTTTGTAACATATGCACATTTTCCAACTCTTCAAAGTCATCTACTAAGAGTAACACAGGGAGGTAATCAGACTGAGGGGTTCCCCCGTAAGTGACCAAGTTAATAACTTGTCTTCCAATTTCTGCAAAATCACCATTGCTGTTCCTCAGGACAGCACACCTCACCTTTTTCCTCAATTCCCATAAAACATGCATAGCTAAAGTTGTCCCACCGCAGCCTGGGTGATGAAACAGATTGATGATCTTCACACACGTTGCAGAAGGTGATTCTGAGTTAATAAGTTCATTGAGTTTAGTATAACTATCGCGTTTGATAAAAGCACCAGAATAGCCGTTTGTGGAAAAGTAAAAGTTCCACCATGATGCTTTGTCACCTCTATAAAACTGTTCCTCTTTGGATTTTTGAAATTCTTTGAAATTATTTTGGTCATTTTCAATTTCAGTTCCCTCACATTCATTTTCACACAGGATTTCAAGAGCAGTCATGTATTCCTCCTCTTTTTTCTGTAGAATAACTGATGCTGATGTTGCTGAGGGTAAGAAGCGTCTGGTAGATCGAGTCACTGATTTCAATTTCAAGATTGTGGCATTGATTTCATCCAGAGTTAAAGAGGAAACACACCTGTCGCTAAGTTCTCGTGAATCACACGTGGATTGCAACAAGTCCTTCCATTGCTGGAATGTTTGTTCACTTTCACAGATACACATTATATCTTCTGTGCCTTTGAGTTCCTGATAAAATGAACAGAAAGTTTCCAGAATGGGATCTCTTGGATCGTCCACTTTAGAAAGTAGCAGAAACACAACCAAATATTTCCCTTTTGGCATGATATCTTGTCTGCACAGAAAGGAGACCAGCTTTCTGATGTCAGCAGCCCTTTCCTTGTACCAAAGTTTGGGAGGTAATGGCTGATAGGTTTCATCCTGAAGGTCTGACCGTCCATTGCAAAATATCCAGCTTGTTTGTTTGTATAGATTCAGCCGTTCAATCTTTTCAGTAATTGCTACATCCATGTCTTGGAAGTGAGTGGGAAAGTGAAGATTTGCTGCTCTTTCTGCACGATAAGACTTGCACACGCCATTGGTTACAGATTCTGGATCAAATTCCAGCACAGCAAACCAATCTATCTCCTTCAGAAAATCAAAATTCTGCATTTGATTCTCCTGGCATTTATTTGTCACTAAAATGTACCGCTGGTAATATGATGTGTCAATCATGTCAGCGCCCCCTGTAATCATACGGCTCAGCTTGTGTCCATCTTGTTTTTTGGTTGTTCTTTTTTTGTCCGTTTTTTCTTCTTCAACTTTCCGTTTCTCCGCCAAGGTTGGTAGCGTCTCAGTCAAGAACCTTCTATATTCAGCTTCTCTTTCTGTGAGATTTTTATTCCCCAGAATGTCTCTGGAGCTGCTTCCATCTCGTATAAACAGATGTTTCTCTTTGCTCTTCATCCATTTTTTGTCTATCAGATTCATCATGTGAATGTGATATAACTTCAAAGCACAAGTATTGTAGCTTGGGACAACATCAACCTCTATCACATACTTTCCTGACAAAGTCTGATCAGCATTTCGAATCTCCACAAAGCGAGGTGGTCTAATGATGTATTTTGCATCCGTGATGTCATCTCGGCCAAAGTAATGCACAAAATTATTTTGAAGATAATCAACGTATTTATCTTTACTGTCTACACACACTCCTATAATCTCACCATGTTCATACTCACATTTGGTGTCTCCTACTCCAAAATGGATGGTGCCATTTGTTCGAGTATTCATACAAGCAGCTGCAAATCTAAAAACTTCATTACCAAACTTCTTTTTAATGTCTTCCTCTGTTGCATTCTCTGTCCGTGTCAGAAGCTTATACTCATGTATTGGGTCCATTAGATTAGAGGGTCCAGTTTCCGGAGGGAGAATAATGTTCTGTACATATCTTCTACCTGTGTGAGATTCATCAAATGGATGTGGCTCACACATCTGTTTAGGTATCTGTTTTTCAGCAGTGATTTTGAATTGCTGTCCTTTCCTTTGTGGTGTTGCTGTCTTGGGTTGTATGTTTGTAACTGTACTGAATGTATCCTGTGGTTTCTGCTGTCCTTTTGTTTCTGTTTCTTCTGATGTTGTAGGATTACCCACATCACTGTGTATTTCTGTGGCTTCCTCATGTTTAATCAGAGAGACTCCTGACTCCGTTTGGTTCTCAATATTCTTTATTTTACTCTTTTTTTTGCTGGATTTCAAGGAAGATTTTTCAGTGGATTCTGCGTGTTCTGTTTTCTTATATTGATCCTCTGTTTTGTTGCTGTCATTTACCCCATCATCTGAACCACTTGCTGGGAAAGAAGGTTGACTTTCTAATTTGTTTGTTTTTGAGCTTGTTCGGTGAATATCAGCGACACCTTCTTGTTTTGTGACCTGCTTTTGACTTTTGCTGAATTCATTACATTTACGCACTATCAGAGAAGCAGGTCCTGCTTTTAAGCCCATTTCTTTTAAGTCTGTTTTAGTAAGTTCCACCAACACCACTCCAGAGACATCTTCATTGTACAGTATTTCTCCACATTTCTGATCAAGCTTCAGTTGATCAACTACCCAATGTCTGACATGGTCTTTGGTCCATTCATTCATGTTGTCTGGGAAATCACATGCTTTACTCATCGTTGATCTTGATTATCCTTAAGAGAATAAAAAAGTTCTTGGATTATTCTTTTGAAAGTTTAGAGAGTTTCTGTCATTCTGGTGTGTTTTAAGCACTCCAATACACTTTTTTTAGGAGCTTTGTTCATCATTGATCTTTATTGTCCTTAATAGGAAGAAAAAGTTGTAGAATATTGTTTACATTTTATCGTTTGAAATTATACATAAAGTTAACTTGAGAAACAAGTTTTGGACTACAGTGTTATAACAATCAAAATAGTGAGTGTTTTATTTAACTATAATAATAATTCTTATTAGCCAATTGCCCACAGCAGTGTCCCACAAACTGTTGTGGATTGAATGATATTTTGAGGGATTATTACCCCTCAAAAGTGATTTGCCAATAAAATAACAACTGGATTCCTACTAACTGCTTGGTAAACAGAAGCCTGTGGAGTTAGGAAATTGTCCTCAGATTTCGCCCTGCCTGGGAATCAAACCCGGATCTTTTCGCTTGGCAGGTGAGTGCACTGATCACTACGTTATGGGACACCACATGAGATAGAGAGACAAAGGATATGCCTGAGAGTTAGAGAGATAGAGACAGACAACACACATGTTTGCCTGCAAGTTAGACAGATTTTCATTTTATATTAATTATTTACATAATTTGCATTCATGTAAACTAATTGTTTTTCATAATAGTTTGCTAATTATCACAAGAGTAATATTTATGATTGTTTGGTGTTCATTACTTAAACAATTATTTGGAGCAGAATACCCCAAATAATGATTTGTTTTCAAAACCTCCTTGTTTCAGCTCAGTAGACTCCATCTTGAGTTAAAAGATGAGAGCCTCACTCGAGCCGAGAGCCCAGAGTGAGCTACGTCCTGAGTGAGGCGAGGCCAGAGTTTGAGGGAATTTGGTGAGAGTGGGAATTAGGTGCAGAGGGGGAAGTGGGGGCCGGCTATATATCTTTGTATCTATATAAAGATTGTGAAGATGGTGTGCAGGTAAACTGCGAGGTCAGTCACATGTGGGAGTCGATGGAGGGCGCCTTAATCCCGGGCGACTTCATCTGCTGCAAGTGTCTGGAAATCAGGGAGCTTCAGCTGAGAGTAGCTGAGCTGGAAGCCCAGGTGCAAACACTGCGCTCCATCAGGGACAGTGAGAGGTTCCTGGACAGTATGGTGGAGGAGACCCTCAATCCCCTAGGACTCAGTGATAGCAGCCCATCACTGTATAGGAACCATGAGAGAGGGGTACTGGAGCCATCGGGAGGTCAGAGTTCAGGAACAGGACCACTCCCAGAGGAGCCCAACACACAGCCACATGCTAAAAGTGATTGGGTGAAGAGGGCTTGTGCAAGGCAGAGCACCCCCAACAGAGTACCGGTCTCAAATCAGTACTCAGCAATAGCAATTGAGAGCGTGGAAACCTCCCGTGAGGACAGCAGTGAACATTCTGTCCAACAGGACAGGGGCATGGATCACACGGGCAACACTGTACTGTACTGATAGGGGATTCAACAGTGCGAGGCACTGACAGGATCTTCTGTCATAAGAATCGTGAGGCTAGGATGGTTTGCTGCCTTCCTGGTGCGAGGGTAGTGGACTTTACCTAGCGTATGGACAAGATTCTTCAGGGGGAAGGAGAATGTCCAGAAGTCGTGGTCCATGTGGGGACCCACGATATTGGGAAGAAGAGGGCTGAGATACTCCAGGGCGAGTATCAAAAGTTGGGGAACAAACTCAAGGCCAGAACATCCAAGGTGGTGATCTCTGGGTTACTCCCGGTGCCTCATGCAACGGGGCACCATAATGAAAGGATCAGGCGTATGAACGACTGGCTGGAAAAATGGTCCAGAAAAGAAGGTTTCCGTTTTGTGGACAATTGGGACCACTACTGGGGGAGGTGGGATCATTACCTTGCGGATGGGCGGCACTTAAGCAAGGCAGGGGTTAGCTTCCTGGCCAAGAGATTATCGAATGCTGTGGGGGCTAATTTAAACTAGTGGTGAGGGGGGATGGGTATCCCAGGATAAACAATAGATTAGGGAATAGAGGAAAAAGACAAGTGGGAAATATAGAGCAGGTACATGTGGACAATTTCCTCAAATGCATGTACCTAAATGCACGTAGCTTAGGGAATAAGGTTGATGAGCTGCAGGTTCAACTGGCCGTAGGGGGTTACGATGTGGTAGCAGTAACTGAGACATGGCTCAAGCCAGGACAGGAATGGGAGATAAATATTTCAGGGTATAATGTGTTCAGGAAGGATAGAGAAGGAAGAAAGGGTGGAGGGGTGGCAATATTAGTTAAGGATACAATTGTAGCTGTAGAAAGGGACGAGACTCTAGAGGGCCCGACAACAGAATCGATCTGGTTAGAGGTCAGAAATAGGAAAGGAGTGGTTACACTGATAGGGGTTTACTATAGACCACCAGATAGCGGGAAGGAGATAGAAGAGCAGATCTGCAACCAGATCACAGACAGATGTAGGGCGAACAGAGTTGTCATAATGGGGGATTTCAATTATCCCAATATAGATTGGCAAAATAGCAGCGTTAAGGGCAAGGCAGGAGAAAGATTCATTAACTGTGTACAGGAAAATTTTCTTGAGCAGTATGTCTCTAGTGCTACAAGGATCTTGCTGGATCTTGTCCTAGGGAATGAAGTAGGTCAGGTTGAACATGTTTCGGTAGGGGAGCATCTAGGTAACAGTGACTATAATATTATTAGATTTAGATTACTCATGAACAAGGACAAAGTACAGTCAAGGGTGAAAATGCTTGACTGGAAAAGAGCTAATTTTGATGGGCTAAAGAGGGACCTAGAGTTGGTGGACTGGCAAGTAAGAATGGCAGGTAAAACGACTCATGAGCAATGGGAAATCTTCAAAGATACGATAGCTCAGGGTCTAAATAGATATATTCCCACAAAAGGGAAATGTGCGAGAACCAAGCCTGCTTGGATGACCAGGGATATTCTGTCTAGGATGAAAAAGAAAAAGATGGCGTACGAAAATTGGCGGATGCAAGACACTGAGGATAGCAAAGCGCATTATAGAGAATGCAGGAGTGATCTTAAAAGAGCGATAAGACAGGCTAAAAGATCGCAGGAGAAGAGGTTAGCAGGTAACATAAAGGGGAATCCTAAAACACTTTATAAGCACATAAAGGAAAAAAGGTTAGTTAAAGGTAGGGTGGGGCCAATCAAAGACAATGACGGCAATCTTGTTGTGGAGGCAGAGAGCATGGCTGATGTACTAACAACAACAACAAGATTCCATTTATAGAGCACCTTTCACGTCGGGAGGACGTCCCAAGGCGTTGTACAGTTGGATCAGGACCCAAGCAGGGGGGAAATGGTCAGGGTGAGGGGAGGGAAGGGAGAGAGCGAGGAGGGGGTAGAGAGTCGAGAGGGGAGCTGAAGGCACGGTCAAAGAGAAAGGTCTTGAGACCGGCCTTGAAGGAGGAAAGGGAGGAGGCGGCGAAGGCACTGGGGGATGGAGTTCCAGAGCCTAGGGGCTGAGAGGCTGAAGGCCCGGCCACCGATGGTAGGGCGGTTGGGGCGTGGGATGTGGAGCAGACCGGAGCCAGAGGAACGGAGGGTACGGGCAGGTAGGTAGGGGGATAGTAGGTCAGAGAGGTAGGAGGGAGCAAGGCCGTGAATGGCCTTGTAGGTGAGGATGAGGATCTTGAATTCGATCCTCTGGGGGATGTGGAGCCAGTGGAGGCGAGCGAGGGTGGGTACTAAACGAATACTTTGCATCTGTCTTCACAACGGAAATGGATGCCCCAAATGCCACAGTATTGGATGACAGGGTAGAGGACATAGATCAGATTACTATAGACAGAGAGGAAGTTCTGAAAAGATTGACTGGGCTCAAAATTGATAAGTCACCAGGACCAGATGGGTTTCACCCAAGGTTGCTGTGGGAGATACGGGTTCAAATAGCGGAGGCTTTGATCATTATATTTCAATCGTCATTGGACACAGGAGTGGTGCCAAGAGACTGGAGAGTAGTTAATATTACCCCTCTCTACAAAAAGGGGCAGAAAGACAAGCCCGGAAATTACAGGCCAGTCAGCCTAACTTCGGTAATAGGAAAGCTATTGGAGACCGTAATCTGGAACAAAATAAATCTCTACTTAGAGGAATACGAGGTACTTAGAGACAGCCAACATGGATTTGTTAAAGGCAAATCTTGCCTAGCAAATCTAATAGAATTTTTTGAAGAGGTGACTGCGAGGGTTGATGAGGGAAATGCGGTGGACATTATTTACATGGATTTTAAAAAGGTTTTTGACACAGTACCGCATAAGAGGTTAATAAAAAAACTGGAGGCCCATGGTATTAAGGGGACAGTAGCCATTTGGATTAGGAACTGGCTGAGTGACAGAATGCAGAGGGTGGTGGTTAATGGGTGTTTCTCGCAATGGAAGGAGGTGTGCAGCGGTGTCCCCCAGGGATCGGTATTGGGACCACTGCTCTTTCTAATATATATTAATGATCTGGACTTGGGCATAGGGAGCACTATTTCCAAGTTTGCAGATGATACCAAGTTAGGTAGGGTAGTAAATAGTGAAGAAGATTGTGACGGACTGCAGGCAGACATACACAGAATGGTGGAATGGGCTGACATGTGGCAGATGGATTTCAATGTAGATAAGTGCGAGGTGATACACTTAGGTAGGAAAAATGATAGGAGGCAATATAAGCTTGGTAGCTCAATCTTAAGGGGGTGAACGTACAGAGAGATCTGGGCGTTCAAGTAAGCGATTCATTGAAGGTGACAGAGCAGGTAAATAGGGCAGTAAAAAGGGCATTGGGTGTACTGAGCTTCATTAGTAGGGGCATAGAGTATAAGAGCAGGGAGGTTATGCTTAATCTGTACAAAACACTGCTTAGGCCTCAGCTGGAGTACTGAATCCAGTTCTGGGCACCTTACCTCGGGAAGGATATTAAGGCACTGGAAAGGGTGCAGAGGAGATTCACGAGAATGATACCAGGAATGGGGAAGCTTAGCTATGAGGACAGGCTGGAGAAGTTAGGACTTTTCCCATTAGAGCAGAGAAGGTTACGCGGGGACCTGATAGAGGTCTTCAAGATCATGAAAGGTTTCGACAGGCTAGATAGGGAAAAGCTGTTTCCGCTGGTAGGTGTGTCTGTGACTCATGGTCACAGTCTTAAGATATCTACCAAAAGAAGCAGAGGGGAGGTTAGAAGAAATTTTTTCACTCAGCGAGTTGTTAGAATTTGGAATGATCTGCCCGAAAGGGCAGTGAAGTCCGATTCGATAACAGCTTTTAAGAGAGAACTGGATAGGTATCTGGAGAAGCCAGGTTTGCAGGGTTATGGGGAGAAAGCTGGTGAGTGGGGTTAATAAACGTTAGTTGCTCTGTCAAAGAGCCGGCACAGACTCGATGGGCCGAATGGCCTCCTTCTGTGCCATAACATTCTATGATTCTATGATTCTATGAAAAATGTAACAAAGGATTGATCTTTAAATGTATCAGCTAGAATGGCTTCTTACTTGAAGATTTTTCTTGAATGATTATATTTAAGCCATTGTATCTTTGTAGCCCCATGATAATTTTCCTGATCTGTTGAAATTTTGGGAACTAATTCTGTCCCATTAGGGAAGCCCTACATCAGGAAAGCTGAGGATCGAGCTAGACGCCCAGATTGTACATTGGCTCCCAATGTTTGATAGAGAGACCAGAGAGAGTGAGGAAATGTAAGTTCACTCCATGTCTGTGGATGGCATCATCAAGAAGGAGCAGATAGATGAGAAAAGGAGGAGGCTGAAGACCGAGCCCTAAGGTACTCCACTGGGTTCCTTTGTGAGGTGGGGAGGAGAAATCGTAACAGTAGACAAAGTGGAGCAGTGTATTATGGAGGATTTGACCCAGGTTAGTGTGGACTCATAGGGATGGTTAACAGAGGTGAGGTATTAGAAGAGGATGGAGTAGTCAATAGTGTCAAAAGCAGCATAGAGAACAAGGAGGCAGAGGGAGAGAATGTGTGCATCATTGTTGACTTTGATGAGGGCTGTCTCAGGGATGTGGGCAGGGCAGCAGAGGGGAGAGGCTTCAGTAAAGAGTAGAGGGAAAGATGGGAGTAAAGTTAAGTGGCCCCAATATGGTCCTGGACTTTGGATAAGGATAGTAGATTAGAAATAATCTGGCAATTGGAGAGTTTGGAGGGTGTAGAGTAGCTTTATGAGGAGGGTTGTGTTGAAGGTGCTTTACTTTTCATGGAGTCCTATAGCTTACTGGTTAGAGCACTCACCTCACAAGTGAGAGACCTGGGTTCGATTCCCGGCAGAACGAAACGTTGGACAAGTTTCCTTACTCCACACGCCTCTGTTTAGCTGGAGGTAAGTAGGAACCCAGCTGTTAGTCGATTGGCAGATCGCTTTTCCTGGGGTAATAATTACTTTAAAAAATAATAATAATAATAATTTGGTCGCTCAATCCACAACTGTTTGTGGGACACTGCTGTGTACAATTGGCTGCCGCGTTTCTCCCACAAAATATACAGTCAATTCACTTTAAAGTATATTCTGTGAAGCGCTTTGAGACATCTCAAACACGTGATAAGGCGCTATATCAATACAAGAATTATTATTATCTGCAAATTTTGACTGAGTTGAGGAAGAACTACTGAGTTGAGGAAGAACTTCTTCACTCAAAGGGTGGTGAATATATGGAACTCACTACCCCAAAGAGCTATTGACGCTCAGTCCTTGAACATATTCAAGACTGAGATAGATTTCTTATTGCAAAAGGGATTAAGGGATATGGGGATAAGGCAGGGATAGGTTATTAGCTGGAGTTAGATTAGAAGATCAGCCATGATTGAATGGCAGGGTAGGCTTGAAGGGCCGAATGGCCTACTCCTGCTCCTACATGTTATGTTATGTTAAAACGTCTCCGCCTGAAAAATACTTCTGTTTTTATTTTGTGAATTAAAAATAGAATTTAATAATTTATCAACGATGATCTCATACCTGGCAGAATAGGCTGAACTTTCAGCCACTATGCCCTGAAACTCTGGCACACTTTCCCTCCAATTCCTCCCCCTTCCCCCTCCCTTCATTCTTCAGGTTACACCTGAAGATCTTCCTCTTCGACTGTGCTTACAGTCACCTCCCCCCTCCCCCCGGGCTCGGCGTCCTGCTCTGAGATGCTATCCTGACTGAGGTGCACTATATAAGTGCAAGTTGTTGTTGTTGTTGAATTGTCTCTTTAACCTTACATTCCTAAAGACAATGGGCAATGTCGGTGGAAGCTTTTTGCAATGGGGAGGAGGGAAGCTGGAATTCAGTATCCCCTTCCTTCACCACTGCAAACCAGATCAACTTGTCCAAAATCAACGTCGAACTGAAAATTGCACTCGGGCAGGGTGAACGAAACAATTCTGGGCTTTCCTGATATCAATTCCCCCAAAATGGTGCTGTAAACTAGTCTCTGTCTCTTTCAATAAGCTTCAGCTCTGAGCTCCAAGGGGGCGGGGAGCAATGACCATCAGGGGGAGAGCATCAATAGGGAAGAAGGACACTGCCCATGCTCGCCAGTAGTAGGGCAGCCTGGGGTGGGACTGCCTCTGGCATGATTTGTGGAGTCCTGTAGCTCAGTGGTTAGAGCACTCGCTTTGCAAGTGAGAGACCTGAGTTCAATCCCAGGCAGATCAGGGCGAAACCTTGGGCAAGTTTCCTTACTCCACACGCCTAATAATAATCCCTCCAAAAAACCAAAAACAATAATTAAATTGGTCATTTTCAATCTACGACTGTTTGTGGGACATTGCTGTGCGCAATTGGCTGCCGCGTTCGCCCACAAATATACAGTCAATTCACTTTACAGTGTGTTCTGTGAAGCGCTTTGGGGCGTCCTCCTGACGTGAAAAGCGCTATATCAAATGCAAGGATTATTATTATTATTATTATTATTATTATTGACAGCTTCAAAAGTGAGAAAAACGAGCAATGCCCCTGATGAAATGTATGCAAGTTACAGTTTGTTTAATAGTCAAACTGAAATATCAGCAATTCAGAGTTGGGGGCGTAAAAATGCTTCTGTCCCATCAGCCCCATCAAATTCATTTTGCCAGATCGATTCCAAGATCCTCACCTCGTCATACAATATCCTTCATGCCCTGCACCTCCCTTACTCTCTGAGCTGCTGGTACCACACTTCACTCCCCACCTCCTTTGCTCAACTAGCAGAGGCCTGATATGCCTCCCCTGACCTTTCTGAGCTATGATCACAAGGTTGTTTCTTCAGGCCCTCAGCCTGGAGGCACAAAGGGAACTATTGTACACGGAATTGTGTACATTAGGGAGGGCAAATACTTGTCCTTAACTATGGTTGAATAAACTGACTTCAAACTCTACCTCTGAAAATACTTGTTCCATATTCTGCATCTTCTAACGTTCTTACTTCTCGCATTATAATAATATTAGTAATAATCCTTGCATTTGATACAGTGGGTTATACCATCATTGAGACGTCTCAAAGTGCTTCACAGGATATATTGTGAAGGGATTGACTGTGTGTTTTGTGGCCAAAACGCGGAAGCCAATTGCGCACAGCAATTTTTGCACAAACAGTCTTGTATTGATTGACCAATTTTTTCTTTATTTGGATTCATTATTAGCCACACAAAGTGATCTGCCAATCGATTAACAACCGGATTCGTACTTATTGCTAGATAATCTGAGGCGTGTGGAGCAGGTAAACTTGCCTTAGGTTTCGTGGGGAATGAAACCCAGGTCTTCTTGCTTGCGAGGCGAGTGCTCTAACCAATACGCGACAGCTCTCTACATTAAACTGTAGCAAACGTTTTGGGCTTTGTTTCTCTACTGGTCCCACAACTTCTAATCTACAAACAAATACCAATCAAGGTGTGTTATAATTGCTTTACGCCAAATCTAGAAAAATACTTCCAGAAACAGAAGTTAAACTGAAGTATGCAATGGATACACCCAGCAACGCCCTGTTATGGTTTTCATTAGATAATACTATCATGATACCAGGAAGTGAATATGAGTGCAGTATAGGTATAAACAACATTGTGCGGTGTATTCATACGTAAATTAGACTACCACCTCGCCCTTCTTTTTATCTATTTCTTATCTATTCCAACTTAATACTTACTTCTTCAACTGTGCCTATGGTCACCTCTCCCTCCTCTTTCTCCCTTGCTCGGCGTACAGCCCTGGCACTGTGCAGAGCTCTGAGATGCTATCTTGTGTTAAGGATGTTGTCTTAACTAAATACAAGGCTCCCGAAATACACAGATTTGACACTTGATCAAAAGCACAGAACAAACAAAATTGTTTTGATTTATACTGATTTTTTTTCCTAAATGTTACATCTAATTTGAAATAATACACAAATATTGTTACATTTCTAAAGGGACCCTTGCAATTAGTGCACAAGTAGTAAGTAACTTGATGCACTGTATATTTCAGTATTTTAATAATATGGACAGACTGAATAGCAAACGGCAGTACTGTACCATGTCAGATGTCAATGGCCATCTCACTCACATCTTCACACTGGTGTTCTTCCTGTTCCACGGATGTGGCTCCTTTCATTAACATTTTGAAAAGTGAATGAAGAAAGGAATACTTCAATTCCAACAATAATCTTCTACCAACTGATATTCAACAGCTCAAAGAAATATTTCCCGAAACAGAATTTCACCAAAAGGCTGTCGACACACCAAAAAAACAGAACCTACAGTAGTTTCAATTTGAGCATTTCCTTAATTACAGTGACGTCAGTAACTGACTGTATATGGAAGCACCGCTCAAAAGGTTTGGATTATGTGACACTGTTTACTTAGCTGTCAGTCTGCTTGCTTGTAAGGTTAGAAGCTACGGGAAGTGGTAGAGATAATCACTCTGCTGCAGCCTGGGACAAACTTGTGTCCAGAAAACACTTACTCTGTTAGCTGAAATTTTATATTTAAAACCTGTGAACAGAGTCAATATAAAATTCTTTAAAATATTACAATATACATTTTATATTTTAATATTTTAAAGTATTTTATATTTTAAAGCTTGTTTATTTAATAATGCTGAAAAGTTGCTTTGGTTCAATAACATAGTTACAACAGGCAGGGAGGGTTCCCAGCCATCACATATTCCTTTGAGGAATCAAAATACCACGGGAAAAGTGGTTCAACCATGGCTAACTAGAGCAGTTAGGGAAAGTATAAAATTAAAAGAAGAGACCTATAATACTGCCAAAAAGATCAGTAAACCGAGGGCTTCAGAGACCAACAAAGAAAGACTAAGAAACTGATAAGAAGGGAGAAAATGGATTATGAGGGCAAACTAGCTAGGAACATAAAGACGGACTGCAAGAGTTTTTACAAATACATAAAGAGGAAGAGACTAGCAAAAGTGAATGTGGGTCCATTAGAAGCAGAGACAGGCGGAATTATAATGGGGGATAAAGATATGGCAGAGTCATTAAACAAATACTTTGCTTCTGTCTTCACGTTAGAAGACACTGAAAACTTAACAAAAAATCTATCTTAGAAATAAAGTCCAGCTACCACTTCGCATTTGGCAATGGAAGTGAGGATTGAGAATGGGATACAAGGATAACACTGCATCCGAGAAAGTTTTACGACATCTTGGCATTTGTTTAGGTGATGATTATTGATTTCATCTTTTATCTTCGTTCCGCTTGTGGAGTCCTGTAGCTCAGTGATTAGAGCAAGGGGGGGAACCTGGGTTCTATTTCCTATCAGGGTGAAATTTGGGGCAAGTTTCCTTATTGCACATACTTCTGTTTACTTAGCAGTAAGTAAGAATCCAGTTGTTAGTCGATTGGAGAATCGCTTTTCTGATAATAATCTCTCAAAAAAAACCAATAATATTTGGGTCACTCGTTCCACGACTGTTTATGGGACACTGCTGTGTGCAATTGGCTGCCGTGTTTCTCCCACAAATATACAGTCAATTCATGTTACAGTATATTCTGTGAAACGCTTTGAGATGTCTGGAAGATGTGAAAATGTGCTATATCAAATGCAAGGTTTATTATTATTAAATGAAAACCATAACAGGGCATTGCTGATGTATGCATTACATATATACTCAGTATAACTTCTGTTGCTGGAAGTATTTTTCTAGAGATTCAATGTTATTCTGAATATTGCCCAACATTTTGCCCTGCCTGGGAATCTCCCTGTCATGGTTTTTATTTTGTAATACTATCATGACTCCAGGAAGTGAATATGAGTGCAGCATAGGTGTAAACAACATTGTGCTGTGTATTCCTGCATAAATTAGACTATCAATTTGTATATATACAAACCCATCCACAATGGAAATTGGATATTTGTTATAATGGAGGGGATCGCTGGTGAAATGGAGCAACTACCAATGTGACTGATATGCTGTTCTGTCTAATCAAAGGCAAATCATTTGGGCAATAGTAAAGTTGGAACTACTTCTTTCTTATTTTTTGTGCAAAATCAATCTGAAATAGCCTTTTTTTGAAATGACATATTTAAACTTAGCCTATGCTGATGTGGAAGCGTTCTCAGCTTATAGGCACAAAGAGACCTATTGTACAAGGACTTGTGTACGATAGGGACGGCAGGAAGATTACTTGCCCCTTAAAGGAGCAAACTCTTGCAGAAAAGGGATGGGTTCCCAGATATTCTTATTACAGCAAGAAAAAAATATGTTTATCCTGTGGTATTCACGTGGGATAACACCTTGGGAGGACTTTAAGAGGACAAATGTGAAGTGGGGGAACAGAGGAGGGTGGAAGGGGAAGTCACCATAATTGTGGTTGAAAAGGTAAGTTGAATTCTGTGCAATTCGCTATTAATAATTCAAAAGTCATGGGATTGGGAGAAATAACTTCATTAAAAAACACCAAATTCCATAGGTTGAAAATCTCAAAGTGCTTCACAGAAACTACTTTAAAGAGTAGTTACTGTATATGTAGGTAAAAGCAGCTGCCAATTTGCACACGGCAATTTCCTACAAACAGACAGGAACCAATGGATCTGTTAGGTAGTCCCTGCTTATTATATGTATCGTTTTTGGAATGTGCCTGGCCTCCATCTAACTACAATAAACATTATGGAACCAGAATCTCTTGATATGGGAAACTTCAATCTCAGATGCATGTTCTGCTGCTATGGACATACATTCACGTGTAAATAGATAGTCACTACAATTTAGAGTGAAAAAAAACCATGAGACAGTTTGACATGATAAGATGCTATATAAAATGCAAGTTTTAGTAGTATTAGGATTATATGACCCACCTTCCAAAAGCATTCAAGGGAGTGGTACCCGAGAAAGTCACGTTACGGATTGTAACTCTATTTGTGAAAGACACCACCAGATGGGTGTTGGGCAAAATCATTGAATAGCTGCTGGCAGATGAAGAATCATAGTACAAGAAGTAAACAATTAAAATACTGTGGAATTATGGCATATACCTTTATTAATCAGCATGATTAACATTCCTAAAACCGGGTATATAAAATGGTATATTTAATTGAGAACAAGCAATGTCTGACTACAGATCCCTCACAATTCTACACATATAGCTTTCTGCAGCACAGCTTATCCTTTGCATCACATAATTGCTGTTTTAAGTGTTTTTTCTGACCTGAACATATCAACAGATTTAACATTGCATAATAATAATAATCCTTATATTATTTTATATTAATGACTTGTATCATTACTGTACAAGTCCAATTGCGCTACAAAAATTTTCACCCACAAAATGCTCAGTCAATCCACTTTACAGTTTATCCTGTAAAGTGCTCTGAGACGTCTTGATGATGTGATAAGGTGCGATATCAAATGTAAGGATTATTATTATTACGTCCTCTTGGTCAGAAATTAATCTTGATATTTCTAAGCGATGTGCACGATATAGTGCTAAAAATGTTTACATTGAGTTCAGTAATGCAATACAATACAAAATTACATTTGCAAAGCGCCTTTCATGTCAACAAGGTACACAATCACTCCATTTTACAATATATCCTGTGAAACGCTTTGAGACGTTCTCCGGACACGAAAAGAAGGATTATCATTTTTATCTATTTGACAAAGCGCCTCACATGAGGACTTGTACTAAGCAGCTGATAATGAGTTAGGCTGATACGCAGCATTAGACTTGGAGATCCAGGACTTTGAGGTTACTAGCATGTCACAAGCTGCTCTAAAAAGGTCCTCCCATTGCATTGAAGTTAAAGGTCTGTCATGTATCTAATGAGGAAATTCTGAAAGTTGGGATGACAACTGCTGGAAGGTCTATACCTGGAAACCGGGTTCAGAAACACACGCTTGAGAGCACAGATGGGTCCAGGGAGGGTTTTTGAGGGAAGTGATGGCAGCCATTGTTAATGGGTTTGGAACAGTACCAGTGGACAGGGAGAAGTTTATGATGTCTGTGAGTAGAGGGGCAAGGAGCTGGAGCTGAAAACCGGGTTCACAAACACACTTTCATACATCCAGCTCCTGGAATCCACCACCTTTATTGGCTTGAGTGAGGTAAGCAGCTGCAGCTTAAGCTCTGAACCTACAACTGTGGAGTCCTGTAGCTCAGTGGTTGAGCACTCGCTTTGCAAGCTAGAGACCTGAGTTCAATTCCAGGCAGAGGGCGAAACCTTGGGCAAGTTTCCTTACTCCACACGCCTAATAATAATCCTTCCAAAACCAAAAACAATAATAAATTGGTCATTTTCAATCCATGACTGTTTGTGGGACATTGCTGTGCGCAATTGGCTGCCGCGTTCGCCCACAAATATACAGTCAATTCACTTTACAGTGTGTTCTGTGAAGCGCTTTGGGATGTCCTCCCGACGTGAAAAGCGCTATATCAAATGCAAGGATTATTATTATTATTATTATTATAACTGGAGGAACCATCACTCAATGGAATGGGAAGTGTGTTTGAGTTGTGGGCAGGAAAATAGATGCAAAGCTCTTACGCAATTCATGCTGAATTGTGGTACCCACCAGGAAGTTGACATGGAGTTCCTGATACCTACCATTCCCCCCTAGAGATGACTCTAATATGCACATGTTGGATGTGAAATGAACACGTGACTCTCCTCCTGAGAGGGTGGGGGAGGTGAGCAGAGTCTCTTTGGGACGAAGCTGGCGCTAAGGTGATATTGTTTACAGTGGAATTGAGTCAACGCTTTGTAGCTCTCTTTGTGGTTTGCCTCCTGAGGCAGGAGGGTCTGCAGTACACTGGGGAACTACTGATGAGAGACCGGTCACCCTGGCTCAGGGTGGGGCTCCAGTTGGGTGGGTGGGGTGGAGCTGTCAGTGGTGTTGGGGATTCTTCCCACTTGACTCCTGATAACCCTACAAACTAAAGACCTAACAGGTAGAATAGTTCCATCCTCATTAAATGTAACTCAACAACATCCTATACAATACAATACAAAATTACATTTGTGAAGAGCTTTTCAAGTTGGGAGGACATCTCAAGGCGCTAAAAAATCAATCAGGGATTAGGACCCGAGTGGGGTGGGGGGGTTTGGGATGGCCTCCCGATCTGCAGCTTGTGGAGGGAAGAGTTGGGAAGGCCGGAAAGGAGCGCATTGGCGTAATCGAGCGTAGATGTAATGAAGACATGTATGAGGGTTTCGGCGGCCTGAGGAGTCGGGCACTGTTGCAGGCGTGTGGCAAGGTAGAGCGGGTCATGGTGCAGCTGTGCAGATGGCGTGAGCCA